CTGCTCTTGACCAATTTGCTTAACATTTTTGGAAAATACCACAGATTTGGCATTCAGGATAAATATTTTATTATACTTGTCACTTACTATTATGTGTATCATCATTTCCCCTAACCCCAAATGAGATTATGTTTGTTCATAACTAGTGATTATCCATCAAAGAAAAGGGTGGGAAGGGTGCATAGTTGAGTTTCATTTGTTCTTTCCCCTCCAAAGTCAACCTCACTTAAGGAAGAGAACAACGATGTTCTTCTAGTCAAAAATCTTAGCACAGTCATGACTGGTGCATAGCAAGCACTCAACTGTTCCTTGTAAATTGAAGAAATGAGATAGTTTAATAGAAAAATTTAAACTCAGTTAACGTTTACAGTACATTTCTTTCTTCCATGTGAGAGAGACAGACAGACAGACAGACAGGCATAGACAGGCATTTCCAACAAGATTTATTTTTTTGGAGAGGTTTTTGCTATAGGGTGTGTGCACTTGCCAGAAAGACAGAGAGAGACAGAGAGACAGAAAGCAAGAAAACACCCCCCGGGGGAGGGGATAGCCACGCTGCAATCCCTTCTCTTCTATTCTCTTCTCAGGATCTTGGGCACACACACACATGTACCCGGCATGAGTTTAAGCCACTGGCTCCAGGACTTGAACCGCGGTTGACTACATGGGAGTCCAGCGACATAGCCATTATGCCAACTGCTGGTCCCCCAACAAGATCTTTATGCCACCATCTACCCTGAGCCTTGATGAGCCAGGACTACGAGCACACAGATTATGCCCATGTGTGTAGGGGGATCTTGGGACTCAAACTCAGGCCATGTGGTTTTAGCATCCTGGAACACTATTACTACTGTGCTGCAGCTGACCTCTAAACTAATTTGGTAATTAGCTAAAACATAGATTCCTTGTCAAGAGGTATAATACAGTAAAAAAAAAACAAATTACTTTTCCTACTTTCACACTCAACACAGAACGCCTCTATGTTCCCATGTGACAGTTTGTTTTGTTTTGTGTTTTCTAGACATCCATCCTCTAGCCATCACCAACTGAGTGTCCAATTCTGACACCGTCTATCTAGACATAGCCTCAGATTCCAGATTCCACAGGTTAAGGGCTTAATTCCACAAGACCCCCCCCCCATCCCCACTTCAGATATCAGCCATAAGTTGTAAGCTACTCACAAATTCTCTGTCATTTGGCTACATAGGAAAGAATTCTACCAAACCTCTTCTTGCATTTGATTAATTTGCTACAGAGGCTCAAAGAACTCAAGAAAAAAAAAAACCCTTACTTTTTCTGGTTTATTATATTAATAAAAGTTATTAAAAGGATACAGATAGACAGCCAGATGAAGAGGTACATAAAGGAAGGTATGTGGGGTAAAACATGGGGTCTCCATGCCCCTCAGGGCAGACCACCTTTCTAGAACTTCCATGTGTTCAGAAACCCAGAAACTATCCAAACTCCATAGTTCAGAGATTGTTAGGTAGACTTCTTCACATAGGCATGGCTGGTTATTGACTCAACCTCTAGATCTTCTCTTCTTTCTAGACAATGGGGAGCAGGGAGTGTGGAAGTTGAATGTACTAAGCTTCTAATCATATCTTGGTCTTTCTGATGACTAGCCTCCATCCAAGAGCCTCCCAGGAGTCACCTCGTTAGAACAAAAGACACTCCTATCATGCAGGAAATTCTAAATGATTAAAAGCTCTGTCAGGAACCAAGAGCAAGACCAAACACATCATTCTTATTATAAATCACAATTTTATAGGTTTTTGGTTTCTTGTAGTACATAACAAAGGATTAACATAGTTGTAGTTGTTGAACTGAGGCTTAGTAGCGAGGAAACAGTTTAACTTGTGATAGTATCATTTTTAAATAAAAGAAACAAAAGAACTATCTTCTAACAGGGATCTAAGTTACAAGATATTACCATTAAGAGGATAAAGTAGTTGATGAAATTATTAATATGAAAATGACCGTTTGGAAGTTCTTGCTGTCACATTGTTGGAGACCTTGGGGATGTGCAAGTGCATGTATGTGCACGCACACACACGAATGTAGATGTTCAGAGCATATACTTTCTTACAGACATTTTTAAATTCCAAGTGTGATGGCTATGAACTAACTTTATTATGAATAATAGCATTTACGGATCAAATTGTTTCACTCTTACTTCAAAATATGATAAAATTAACTTGTCATTCTAGACCTTGAGGAAAAAAAAAGAAAAACAGCAGGAAAAAACGAATGACTTCAGCTTCCCCTATGGAAAATTTGGCTTACACTAAAACAGTCAACGATAAGCATCCGTGGTAAAGCACATAACCTACATTTCAAAATCAAAATTGTCACATCGCATCTTTTCTAAAATCAGAAAAGGGATTTCAGAGGATCATTTGTTCAAATCCATTTGCACCCAGTGGCAGAAGTTTACACATAGGCCTTCCCAAAGCCACTCTGGATGTCTATCCTGTAGATCAGCCATTCTCCAAACTCAAGACCTGTGTGAGTGGGTCCCCCCTTTTAATTCATACTTGCATTTGCTCCCTAAGAGAAGCCTAATTTTCAGGCAGTCGTTTTTTTGTTTGTTTGTTTTGGGGGGACACAAAATTCTCAGAATATTGGCCTTACTTAGCCAGCAGTAAGCCTTCTGCTACTTCTCAGTCATAAATAGCATTGACAAAGACATTAAAGATGGAAACAATAATAGTCAGGAAGGGCAGAAAAAGATCATCACGATACTGTCTCCTTTTGCAGAAAAAGGTATTAAAATACCAACGATGCAAAAATAGACTTGAACAATTTTGTAAGAGGGAAGAAGTCACCACTCCTAGACAGCCTAAGATGGGTGTCCTGAAGGTTTCATTGATCAGTTGATAAGTTGGCTGGTGAATGATTAGTCGATTAGTCAGAAAGGTTTGAATTAGTTACTAGAGCTCTGCGTCCATGAATAAAATGCTGGGAGTATTTTCTCTCCCACCCTCTGTGACAGATGATATCTGTTTTCTCCTGTGAGTTTGAATTTAAGAGCCACTGAAGCTCAGCAACAGTATATTCTGGCTTAAATGAGCTGAAAATTGCACTCAATTTGAATTTCAAAAATGGAGGGGAAGAAGAGGGGAAAAAAAAAAAACCCTCAGCACCCATCAAGTCTCCACACTTTTCAGCTACTTCCTGCTGCTTAGTTGCATTTTGCCAGGCTGGGGACCTGAAACCCAGGATGTGTTGC